CATTAAACCCAATCGATTCATTATTCACAGAACTCATTAATAGTCACATCAACTCCTGTGTTAAATTTGCCAATAAGATTCTAGAATACCCTCTTCATCCAACGCATCCCGATCTATCATCTTGCAGTTCCCATCCGTCCACACGCTCCTCATTTCGACATCTAACCCCCTGCATTACCATTTATCAAAATTCCACTGCACCCTATCTGGCTCGACGCCTAACCAAAAAGGAACAGGTCACAAATGAATTACGTCACAAGTGTTGTACAAACTAGATCCGCAGTCTTTACTTCGCATGTCATATGAAACTGTTTATTTCATTCCGCTTTACGGACCGTGTACATTTTTAATTAAAATGTAAACATCTAAGTTTACGCAAGTTATACAAAATACGAATAGGAACGATTGGAAATCTCGTACACGGTGTCATTCCGGGTGTAACAGAGATTCGGTTTGAGATTACAACTCTGAGTACTGAACAAACAGATGCGGAACTGCAGAGATGCGGACTGAGTAAAGATGTTGTGGTTCGTAATTCCCTGTCTTTGTACTGCAGTGTGTGTTGGGGGAAGGATAACAACCTTACTGATTAGTGAACCAGTTCACCTTTCTTGTAGATCAGCATGGTGGCCGATTCACGCTGTTCCGTTGGAATTCCCACACTGTTCTCAGGAGTTCCGTTAACNGTTAACTTCAAAATCAGGGTTGGTCATCCATCGTTAAAACCTGACGGAGAAAGTCCATTCGAACCGGCAGAGGTAACTGATTCCTCGGGTAACCTCTATTTCAGGTAGCAACTATTACCGATAGTCGCAGTCTTCTCCATATATTTATTGTTCCCTATACTTGAAACATTGGGTCCCCTTTATACAATTCGTCAGAACCGATAGAAGACAAATACTGCGAGAGGTTAACATTTCTTTTAATCTCTTCAGTCACCACAACGTAAAACAATCTGGTATTCATACAAGCAAGTTTTGATAACTAGAGTGGTAAAACGGACAATAGTCAGGAAAGCGGGAGAGAGGGTGGGGTGGGAAATCAGGTCCATGGCAGTTTGACTGATTAAGAAACTTTCGTGCACATAACATTGGGTTACTTAACTTGATTAGCATCGCCTCGCTAAACGCCAAAATCCTGGGGTTCAAGTTACGTAATAATGGCTTGAAGGACATTTGTGGGTCAACGATGTGTCCAGTTGCCAGGACTATATGCTCTCCTGACACTGTCCAAGAAGAAGAGGCCTTTCTGCGAACGACGCTACTGGATAATGGCTATCCAGAGAAATTTATTGATGTGCATAGCAGACGAGAGACATCGGTTGATCTCGCCTGCGAATTACCGAAGAAGAGCGTCTTCCTCAAACTCGCCTTTAAAGGTGATCATATAATGAACGACGTGCATCAAAAGCTCAAGGCGGCATTGTGTCGAACGTTTCCTGCCGCAGAGCTTCGATTGATACCGTATACCCAAGGACTTCGTTTAGACAATCGAAAACAGAACCAGCCAAACAATTCTGCTTCACAGATCGTCTACCAGTTCACCTGCAGTTGCGGTGACACTTACATCAGCAGGACGAATCGGCCCCCGGCACAACGGATGTCTGAACACATTCCCAAATGG